TAAAAAAATACGTATTTATTTTTTTAAAAGAAGTCATAAAAATGAGGAGCATTCATATAAAGATAGGACTACCCATGTTCACAACATTTTTTTTATGAATGCTCCCGATAAAAAAATCCATTGTCTTATTAAAATTTCAAATAAAAATTTAATTTATTACATTTATTTTATTTTTAAAATTTATGTCAAAATTTTCTGCACTAATTATTTAGTCTCATTAGTTTTATAAAATACACATACTGTGCACTCAAATAAAATTTTCAATTGTTTTTGGAGCTTATATTTAAACCTAAAGCATCAAGGGTAAAAATGACATTTGCAACCAAACGTAACAGTGAAATGATGGAAAATGTAACGGTGGGGGCATACAAGGAATCAAATTGAAATTTCAGGAGTATAGAAGGGATCGGGTAAATTTCAGGGGTATGAAAGGGATTGAGTGAACTTTCAGGGGTACACAGTAAATTTACTCATAGATGAATTGGAGCTAGTAGTTGGCTATACTATTAAACTTGCTCTAAGATGCGTACCTTTTAGACTCATAGAGTGCTTTTCAGTTGGAATATAATGACATTAACTTCTTGATTGCTTTTCAGTTGGAATGACATTAACTTTTTGATTGAGCAGTTACCCATGACGTTTTGAACTATTTATGGAGGAAACTAACTAGCTAGCTAGTGCAAGATCGGTATATGCTGCGTAGAATTGATCATTTGACTGTCTTCATACTCTTTTGGAGGAATATTCTGCAATAAGGTGAGATGCTGAAGCTAATAACCATTTCAGACAAGGCTAATGCATATGGTAATGTGGGGCCCAGATGTTGTAATGGCGGCAGAGATCAGGCGCTAACCACTGCATCAAAAATCTGAAAATTAATTAAGCATCGGTAGCTTACGCAACAGTGAACAGAAAACCTGACACTCTTATATATATATGATTTGCCAATGTCCACTTTATGCAAACGTTGACTGTCATATTTTTTATGGCACTATGTTATTCTACAAATTTTTGCAGTTCACATCATGTCGTCGTCCCTGTTAATTATTAGAAAATCAAACAACTCATGTTTAGTACTGAAGATAAAATACACAAAGCATGTGATTGAAGACATTAGATGGATATGTTCATGAACAACTGGATCTAGCAAATATACAATTAGTGTGTCGACATTCTGACTTGTTTGCACTGGTGTTGCGTGATCCATGCATCTCACAATTAATTGTAACTGATGGTGGGTGTCAGCGGTATAATTCTCTGACCCGGTTGATAGAAGATGATGAATAATAATACGTGGAGTAATTAATTAAATTAAAACAACGACGACTAGCTTAATAAACATATAATTGACGAACTAATTAAGTTGTATTTTCTTGTGAATACCATATGTGATAAGGATGTTGCTGATCTATATCTACAGGTACTGTAATTTCTTAAACACATGGGTAGCTTGTGTACAAGTATATACTAGTACATTACTAATACTAATGGGTAGCTTCTTTTTGGCACTTGTTGTGCCGGTTCACAGTGCCAACGGGAACTATCTAGGACCAATATTGATATGTTTGGAAAGCAGAAAAATAAAACAGGGAAAAATAGAAATATAAAACAAAGGAATGTACGTGTAAAATAGAGAAGTAGAGAAAACAAATGAATTTAGTTCGCTGGGGGGTTGTGGATGGTTACAAATGATTCGGTGTTTGAAAACATACTCGTGAATTATCCTTTTGCAGGCCATTTAATTTATAAATCTAAATCCTTTGCATAGAAATGGAGCATCCTGCTAGGGGAAGAAGATCAAGTGCTTTTGGAAGATTGGTGTAAGGTTATCCAGGAGAAGTTCCAGCAAGTGAGACCACGGGTTCTAGCTAGTTTCCCTTCGCTCCATTCCTATAATCCAAACTGTATGCTATAGTAAAATTTACTGTAGTTTCCTCTAGGTTCCTTCCCCCTCCCCTCCATTTATATCCTTCAATCCAAACAGCAAGATGCAGCAGATGAGTGATAATAATGTGAGAAATTGCATATATATGCAGTTCCAATGACAATGAGTAATAGTAGTAAAAACTGTTGTCTCCAGAATGTCTGGGATTTAGCAGGCAGCACGAGTATCTCGTGGTAGGGTGTAATTTTGGCAATGCATTGTTGCGCTCCATGTGCCAAACCCAAAAAACTTACAGAGATCTCTCTGGCATACATCGATGTTGACAAAAGGTAATGATCAATTGGGCTTATAAAAATTTTACTTGGAATATGAATTAATATTCCTAAATATAAGTTTTAGCAAACCCTAGCTAATTGGTGCTAATCAATTAACACTAGCAATCTTGCACACTGCCTAAAAAAGGAAATCTTGCACACTATCTAACGTATTGAGATACAGAAAGTAATTAAATTGGGCATATGTATATATAGAAAATACAGAGATGTATATGTGCCATCTATTTTGTAGCTGGCTGATTTTGAATCAGCTATTCGATTTAGCTACTAACTAATTTTTCATGAACATATTTCCCGAATGGATGTTTTACGAAAAAACATTTAACATAGAAATTTGTAATAGTTAACATGCACTCAATTTATCGTGCACTATATAAGCTGCCTAGGAGAGATATTAGCTGGTACTCCCCTATTCCTCGAATCCTAGTTGAGACGAGTAGTACGTGTTGTTCTTGCTATATAACAATTTTGTTTAGAGACATTATACAAATACAAGTACTCACAGTGTGCGCGCACTCATCTTATTTCTATGAACACACATACATACACCCTACCTCTATGAGCATCTCGAAAAAACTAAGCTGACAAATCTTGCGATTGACAAAGTCAGTATGGACACCTTGTTATCAATGGATACAGTCTACCACTGAAAAAATAATTAGCCGTAAATGTGAGCACCTGTATCTAAAAATTAGAACTTGAACCCGGGTGTGTTGATTCCACCACAAGAAACCTAATGAATTGAGTTACACTCACTTCGTTGCTACATAACAATTTGTTCGTCTATCCAAATACTTAATTATATTTATTTTATCTAAGGCTATGGGAAAAGGCAAGGTTCGTTTGCGCGCATTTAAAAAAGTTACAATATGTTCTCTCTTAAAAAATAAACACTGCCACATAAACCTTCATTAATGTTTGTTGAGAAGATTAATCAGTGTTGGTTTTCTAACAAGCACTACTTTTCGGTTCCCCAAAGAGCTCTACTCTTTGGCATTGATGAGTGGGTAGCATTTGTGGTCGGTTATAAAAGAGTTCAGATCGGGAGAATCGGCTCATTTGAGCCAATGCTTCAAGCGCCTCCCCGATATCCACATACGCATCCATACCCCCTAATCAATCCTTATATAGGGCTTGTTCGTTTAATCCCTAAGAGATCATTGGAGGGGATTGATGGGAAATAATTCCACACCATAACATATATGGAATAAATCCCCTAAAAATCCTCCTCAATCCCTTAGTGGGAGGGATTAGCCGAATAAGGTCTCAAAGATCAATACAAACATGTTCATTACATCACATATAACATTACATTGATTCAGTACTAATCATCATTCCCCATTATCAAGAACAATATTTACAATATCGTACCGCCTTCTCCCCCTCCTCTTCCCTCCTCCCCTCAGTCATCGCCTTCTTCTCCTATAGCTCCTACGGTCACTACACACCAGATCCTAAATGTAAGCTTGAGCAGGCCGCACTGGCTAGATCCGCTCGCACTGAGAGTGGGGATGGGAGCCAAGTCACTTGCCTGTCAAGCCAATATAGTCGATCTCACCATTCCCGTAAAGCCGCTCGATCTCCCTTGCCAGCCTGCCACTCCTTCATTTCGCTCGGTCTAGATTGAGAGAGAAAAAAAGACAAATGGCACATGTGGAGGGCTGAGAGAAGAGAAGAGGGAGCCAGCCTAGCGGTGACGATAGTGAGGAGGACGCGCGATAGTTCCATAGAGAGAACGAGAGGATTTAGTGAGATAGACAGAGAGATCAACCAGGAAAGGATTTTTGTTGGCCTTCAAATAATCGATCGTCCGGCTAGCTCAATCGGCTCAGCTCAGTGCAATACCCATCTATACCGATCAATTTAAAAACCGACAGAAGTCTCACAGTGTCGGTGTTTTTAATGTATAGAGTTGGATTTTTTTAATGAACCAACACTGATGTGATGCATGTATCGGTGCCTGTTCTTCCTTGTAGAGGGTGTGAGCCGTATGGGTGGATAGAACACCCTTATCAGTGCTTTTCTCAACTAAAATTAATAGATGGTACGAGCGAAGCGAGCGTAGCTCCACTGGTTAAGTTTCTTGTGGTTGAACGAGTCCACCCGGGTTCAAATTCTAGATTTGATACGGGTGCTCGTATTTACGGCTGATTATTCATTCAGTGGTAGACGACGTACCGATCGACAACGAGACACATGTGGTGACTTGGTCAGTATCAATAAATGCCGGCTCAGTCTTGCGGAGGTGCTCATAATGATAGGGTGTGTCATAGGGGTGACTGTACGCGTGTTGTGGACATCTGTGTTTATACAGTGTTTTAGAAAAAATAGGACGGTACGATTTAACAGTTGTGTAGTAGTGGAAAAGAGGGTTAATTTATCAGTGGAGTTACCTCATCACTGTTATTTTTTCTTTTGCGGTGACTCTCATACTGACAGTAATGTGCAACTTGTGCAACGCGTGAGCGAAGGGCGGCGTTTGAAAAGAAAGATATCGTCACGTACGATGTGTATCAAAACGTAGGTCTACAGTACCACATGATCGTAAGAACATTATCGCTAAGAAAAGATAATATGAGTAAAAGTCTAAAAGATTGCAAATTTGCATAATACACTCGGAAATTGATAATATGCATATCCAATCCACCAACTTGCACTAATTATTAATTATTGACAGAGATCAAACTACTGCTCCGAAGTCTATACAGTACACTACCGTACGTGTCTCTAGTTTCTGGAAAAAAAGGTACAGCTATAGTACTACTCTTCCAATACTAATATATTAATCTAATTGCTTAATTAATTAATTAATTAATAGTAGTTGATTCATCACAGAAAATTGAAGGACGTTGGCTCTGCCCTGAATTATGATAAATCATATCGTACATATAAATTACAAGGATACATGAGCCACCTCCCCTCAAATGCTTATATATTAATTGCACACCCTTGTCGATCGATCGATCTGCGAGCGATCTGGACCGCACAAATATAAACGAACGGCTCCGACGCACGCACGTGGCATCCATAGAGGATGCACATATACGTACGTAAGTACGTATATTCACAATGTACGCGTATATACGTACGTATACATACGCTATACCATACGTATGCATGTCGATCTTCTTCTTCTCTACCTTGGGAGCGGGATGTCGGCCAGGTCGTCGCGGTACGGCAAGGGCTCGTCGTCGTCGACGGCGAGGTCGCCGGCGTCGGCCTTCTCGGCGTCGACGACGGCGGCGAGGGAGGAGTCGGCGACGAAGGTGACGACGGAGTCCTTCCTGATGGTGAGGTAGACGACGGCGACGATGTAGACGAGCATGAACGGGAAGACGGCGGCGCCGACGAGCACGTTGGCGTACTTGGGGAGGTCGTTGTGGATGAGCCAGCCGACGAAGCTCGTGCTCAGGAAGTACATGTTGATGCCGATGATGAGCAGACCCAGGAACCACGAGAACACTATTATCTGCATTCAATTCAATTCAATTTATTTTTTGACATACATGACGCTAATTAATTCATTGATAGCGTCACTAAATAACCAGTCATCTTTGACGGGTGGTAACTTATATATCTTTTTAACGGGTATCGACTGATGAGCATGCGCAATTTTTATAGGTAGTATATATATATATATATACATATATATATATATATATATATACACATATATATATATACACATATATATATATATACACACACATATATATATATATATATAGCCATGTGTGTAATAATAAGAAATAAATTTACATTTGTTCAATTTTGTTGTAGATCAGTTTATTTATGGTCCTTAAAAAAGAATTACATTTTCTAATGTTGACTTGTATGTGTCTAGAAATGTTTAAGTAGAGATACAACGACATACGTAATGATCTATGTTAAATTATATTTACATTTTACTTCCATGCAAGAAAAAATATATATAGTGTACTGAAGAACTTGGCTCTTCGATGTCTGTAAAGATCAAGCAAGTACGTTACTGCATGATTTTGACACATCATGCCGACGACGCAATACATGATTAATCTCTGGTACTACTGCAAGACAGAAAAATGATGCAGGACGTACATCTTGGTCGTCGTTTTCATATGTACGACGATCCTCTATATGCATGGCTGGACCATATATATACCTGTCCTGCATTGGCCCCTGCTGTGCTATAATACTATTGCATGAGCTAGGTAGCTAATGATTCAATTCAATTCACTGCACATCTCGATCTATATTATGCACACACTGACCTATAGAACATGGTGTCCTGTAGGGGTTGCATGCATGCAGGGTGAAGGACCAGCTAGCTAGCCAACTATCATCATTAATTTATATTCTTTACCAACAATTATTGAAACTCTAATTTCATGCATGGACAGATAGATGCATATATTTATGTTACTTGTACATTTGCTGCCAATTGAGATTAAGAAACAAACTATAATTAAGCAATGCATATATATAGTGTACGATCTTACATAGATAGAGTTCTTGTGGGGCCCCATCTTGCTCTTACTGCTGCTGAACTTGAGAAGAGGGATGAGAGCAAACGGCAGCTCGAAGGACAGTATCATCTGCATGCACACAACACGTACGGATTAGGAACAATTAATCATATATATGTAATTAAGCAAACAAGAACTAGCAATGATCAGATCACTACTTTGATTTGATTTAATTATATATAATTAGTCCTTACTTATTGAGTTGGAAGCTAGTCTAGCTAGATGGTACACTGTATTATATATATGCATGGTGCTATTTTAGATCAGATTGCAAAAAAAGAAAAGATACCTAGCTAGTCAGTGACATTTTGCTAATCAGATCACTACTTTGATTTGGCAATAATCTAAAAAAAGAAGAAAAAGTGCTTTTGCTCTAATGACATATATATATGCTCTTAGTACTATGTCACTAGGTACCTAGTGGATACCCCACTACTACCTAGCTAGCTACATAAATCCGCACGATCGACTGCACACACGTGACTGTTTGGGCATGTGCAAAATTAAAAATTTAAACGCATTAAATTTTAATCGATCGGCGACACGACGGCCGGCCGGTTGCTCGCCGGCGGGCGCCGCCGTATGGCGCACGCAGTTTGCTATAGTAAAATAGTAATAATAGTAAAGATTTGCTATAGTAAATAGTAATAATAAAAATGCTGACCGAAGCGATGATGATGAGGCGGCCGGCGCCCCTGGAGCCGCCGATGATGGAGACGATGAGGCTCGGCGCGATGGCGATGGTTCTTGTCATCAGGTTCCGAAGCCACTTCCTCATCCTGATGTCCAAGAAACCCTGCACATACATGGATCATATCATATATATCAACGCGACATGATGATGATTTATCATATACTCCTTCCGTCATTAAATATTTGACGCCGTTGATTTTTCTAAACATGTTTAACCATTCATCTTATTCAATAAATTTAAGTAGTTATTAATTCTTTTCTTATCATTTGATTCATTGTTGTATATACTACTACTACTCTAGTTTTTTAAATAATATTCATAAAAGTTTTTGCATAAGACGAACGGTCAAACATATTTATAAAAAGTCAACGACGTCAAATATTTAGAGACGGAGTGAGTATATCCTGAAGATCAGTCCTTTGGAGTGAAAAAATAAATATATATTTTCGGGTCCGATTTATCCCGTAACTGAAATACGCTTCATATCATAAATAGATTATTAAGAGGAATGAGACTCGAACTAGATCGGTTAGCCCGCCAGGTAGATTAGGAAAACTAGTTGTTCTCTTTCTCAACGTTCACTTCAGAAAGAAAATTTTACGGTGCGATGGGATATCCTATTTTTTTTAATATAATTTATAGAGTTTCGTTAGCATATTTTTATTAATCAATTGGTTTTCTAAGTATATGTAAACAGTAAAATCGCTGGTTATTGATGAGACTGCACCGTGAAATGGACTAGACCAAAAGAGCGGAGAAATATGGACGAAAGTGGTAAGTAGTGGCAGCAAGGTAGCGTCTTAATTCGATCTGACTTTAACAAAAACATATGGTGAAATCCGACGAGGATCGCCAGATTACCTAATTAATAAAGGAATATTATATCACTAAATATTCGTGATGTAAACAGGATTAGGTGTGCACCCCTACAATTCGTCAGTTAACCTCCATAATTGAACGGATTAACAAATTAATTATGTGGCAGCTAGCCGTTTAATTAATTATAGTTCAATCATTTAATTACGCGCTAAGCTAGCTGGTGATGTACAGGTACAGGTACAGTTAAGTTAATTAATTTAATTAATTACCTGCATGATGTACTGTCCAGCGTATGTGCCGGTAATAGTGGAGCTCTGCCCAGATGCCAACAGTGCCACGCCGTACACGATCGCACTCGACTTGCCCAGCACGTTCTGAACCACATAAAAAAATTGACGTCACAATTTGACCATAAATTAGTTACTCCTCCTATTCAAAAATATAAACATATCTAATAAAGTTATTATATTTTAGGACGGAGAAATCGTGTAGACTAATTCGGTATTATTGTGGTTAATTAAATATTGATTAAATTGAACACATACAAGCTAGTACTACGAATCTGAATAGATTTCTATCTGTAGTACTAGGATACGTCTAATCCATTTAAAAATTTTTAATATTAAGGAGTAGGAAGTAATAATGAATGAATGACCTTGAGAAGGAAGGAGGAGGTGTCGAGGCTGAGGTTGGCGCACTTGTCGGCGTCCTCTTGGGAGAGGTTGGCGGAGGAGCAGGCGGTGCCGGAGACGGAGACGACGGCGATGTTTATCAGCAGCGCCACGAACAGCGCGAACCCGCTCTCGTACAGGAAGAACCTGCACCCGTCCTACGTGGCAATTCACACACCATATAGTACATATTAATTATTAGCCTGGATCTTTGTTCGGTTTCTTTCCATGCATGAAAAAATTCTAAGCTGAATCCAGTGGTACTGGAGCCCGAAATTATAGAAGATTAGTGCTAAAATAAAACTTAGCTAATAAAGTATTGGTTTTCTATGAAATTTACATGTTAATTTAATAAAATTTAAACAAGATTTAAGAGACAGGACTAGATCGAGTTCATGTCCTAGCTACCCTATACCTATCTCGATCTGCCCAGGCTGAATATAGCTACCTTGATTCCTCTGACTGATGCCGGTGTCTTCCTCGATAGCACCAAGGCAGAATGCAAGAACAGATTGTGGCTGCATATATATAAATGCATGCAGTAGTTAATTAACTGATTAGTTGTATGAATTAATTGATTGATTGTTGCGTATGTATGTATGTATGTAAAAGCGTACGGCATGACAAGAGCTCCGAGGAGGGCAATGGCGTCGGCGGTGGCGCCGTCGCCGTTGAGCCTGGGGATGAAGAGCCCCTTCATCACCTCCTTCGCCGGCGGCTTCACGATGCTCAGCTCCCCGAAGAAGCACGCCGCCATCACGAACACCAGCATCGATATCAGAAACTCCAGCTTCCTCACCTGTTTTTTTTCAAAAAAAATTCATCAATCAATTTTCATGCAGTTCCACAGTCAGAGAAAAAAAACTGAATAATGTACATATAATATGCCATTTGAGTACTTGACAATCGATCCAACTAGCTAATTTCATATACTATTCCATTTTTATAATCGTTTCTTTGAGTGCATCCTACGCTAATGCTTGTGATACTAAACAAAAACAACTTACAAAAAATAATTTATACCCCGTATTTTTGGAGGCCAAGAAGCAGTAGAGTGCTGGTGCCGGTGATGAGGACGCCGACCCACACCGGAATATGGAACAATATGTTGAAAGCAAAGGCCGTCCCTATAACTGCATCCACCAAAATTAACAACATCAAACGACATGTAATTAATTAATTAATTATAATCACATCGATCTGTACCTTTCTATCTGTTGATCGATCTATCTATCTATCTATATATCACCTTTGCTATCATCATGTGAGGTATCTTCCATAACTAGTTTAATTTTTTTAAAAAAGAACTTGCATGCATGATCAATTAAAAAGGCAATTTACAACGGTTGAGGTTAACTAATCCCGATCAGCAAAGCTTCGCGCAGCTCCGTTTTGCAACTGCTACACCACTGATCTCTCTTCCATGTTGCTAGATAGATAGATATTTAGATATTGTTGTTATTGTTTAAACACACATGGATGTATACAGGACAGGACAAATGTGAAATGACAAGAGGGTGACAAAATAGTTGTTTACTAATCTGCGTAAGATGATGAACGTACTCACCCAGTGTTTAAAATCTAATCTTGATGTGCATCATTGACACTTTTATGGGAAGCTACTGTGGACGTGGTCACTCCTCTAAACAGCTAAAACGCGCATTTGCTTATGTTTGAAACAGATTATTCAACAGATATATTATTGGTACATATTATCTACCTTATTATATGGATGAATTAAATATTTTTTTAAAAAATGGCTTAGAACTTGTATTCTATGCAATATCGCAGAATATATTTTTTTTAGAAAAACATATTTACTAGCTAGAGACATGAAAGAAATAATATGTGAGAATAATCTGGTGAGTAGCTGAGAAGAACGTGGCTTGATGGTGATTGGTGAGATATTAATTTGCCTATGTTTGTGGATTAGGAATTCCAGTATGTAGGCCCGTACGGTTGGAGCTACATATGCTAGCCAGATCAACTTGTTTTCTTCTACTGTCAGAGAGCTTAAACTGAATTAATTAATTAGCTCAAAGTCAAAGATGGTGACACTGTTAAACACAAGTAGTTTAATAAATTAATTATTCAGGCTGGACCGTGTCAAGTTGTTACTAATAAGTATATACCTTCTGGGATATCTGCAGCGATGACGGCCAACTCTGCCAGCAGCCATAGGAAAATCTTGACGAACTTGGGGTACTCACTCTTGCAGATCTCAGCCAGATGCCTCCCTAGGATGTAAATTAATGCCGGCCATATATTAGCACTTTATCAAGTTGGTAATTACAGTTTAATTGCGTGTCATTTAGTCACCTGTAACCACTCCAAGATTAGCTGCTAGCGACTGTATGATAAGTGCGAAGATGAGTCCAATCAGAATCACCCAGAGCAGCTGCAAATTGAAACAACACAATGGACAGAAAAGCACATAGAAATCAATTAATGGTGCAGATTATTCACTTTTCTCTTTTCTCTAGATGATGTGAGAGTGAGATACATATGCACTGGGGATTAAAAGTGGTTCTGAAAAGTTTGTCAATTTGGAGAATTTGATGGAGCTAGCAGATGAATTAATGGAGTGTGAGTCTGCGAGGGACAAGGAAAGGGACGAACACCTAGAAAGCATGAAAGTTACTCATGCTTTCAGTCATTCAGTGCGTAAACAGTAAAATAAAGTCGACTGTACGTACCTCATATCTGTGGTTGGCTCCGGCTTGCAGATCGGTTTCCACTGTTTCATTTTGTGACAAAATTAACAGTTACAATCCAGAGTTTGTCAAAATAAAAGTTTCAGTTGAGAGAGAGAGAGAGAGAGAGAGAGAGAGAGAGAGAGAGAGAGAGAGAGAGAGAGATTCTCACAATTGCCAGGATCCAAGTAGGCTAAAGACACCATGAATCCAGGACCAACATGGGCAAGGAACCTTTTCCATGCAGGCTCCTGTACACAATTTACCAAAACTGAGAAACTAACAAAAAGAAACACAGACATAATTGAGGATCCAATGTTCCATCAGTCCTTAATTACCACATACACACACACACATGAACATTCATGAGCAATGAATGCCATGCCAGGAAGTACTCTCAAGATCTATCTACATTAAGCTCTGCTCTTGCTTCTGCAGTTACAGTGAACAACTGTCCATGGTGACAGTGGAGTGCTTACAAGAAGACAACTTTGTGATAATTAAGGTAGCAACTGACCTTCATTAGCAGCTGATCATCTGCGTCGAGCTTCTTGGCATCTTGATCATGTGCCGCACTAGCTCTCCAGCTGATGCTCCCTCTCTCACTGCTCTCTCTCTCAATCTCCATTGTTGCTTCCTCTCTTAGCTTCTTCAGGCTAAGCTAGAGCTAAGCTAGAGCTCAGGCTAGCTGGAAGTAGACGAAGAAGAGAATGGTGGTAGTGACGAACTCTCAAGCCACACCCTCCTGTCCTACTTATACACAAACCATGCAAGTATGCAGCCAAATTAACTTGGTGTATGCATGCGTCAAATATAATTTTTTAAGACATGAATAAAAAAAGGAGGAAATTAAAAGAGAAAAAAAATGTGGGGGCCTCCATGTACGTACGGCGTACGTAGAGAAAGCAGAATTAAGAGAGGGGAGAAAGCTCCATTTGGCATCTCCATGGGCACCAAACAGCTTCCTTTCATTGAGGGCATGTCTTAATCTTTTATTATCCAAATGTGTCACACTCGCTAAATATTCATCTGGGCTGTACCTAGGGGAGCCACAGCTTGTTTTGTCCCAAAGCATGGCTAGCTTTAAGCATTTAGTTAATTAATTAATATGATTAGCTTTTGTGTTTTGTGTGTGTCATCACTGATTAGAAAGCAGGAGGGTTATGGTGCCAGGGCCACTATTAATTTGGTGTGGATTTAATTTGGTGGTTTAATATTAATTAGGTGCAAGATCAGTGTCATTGGTTGGGAAAATAGGGATTTTGGTCTAGCTAGCTGGCTAGGTTCCTATACGATTTACTACTTTAATGAGTGTGTTATGCCCTGTGTGCAAAACCTCTTGTGTTCTAGAGGGGAATTGAATGAGAGCCATATGTCGTGCAAAAAGCTTGGTGCCATTGTTAGTTCATTTCTAGAAGAGCAAGAATTAACTAGTAAACTAGAAACTTACATCCAACAAACAGAGTAATTAATTTTAAGATATGCAGTTTACTTGTACACTCAGAGAGCAACAAAGAGCTAAGGTAGAAGTCAATACTATAGTTATGACTTATCATGCATGGATATGTATGCTATAACTAACTTTGCAATCAATCATTAGACCTGACCATTTCTATGGGTACCCTATTCATATAATATGTTAGCTTGCCGATAATGAATAAGGCCAACAAGAACCCAGGCAAAGATTGTGTTAGTTAGAACACTGTAATTGACAATCCTGCCTGCTCATTACTTAATGATGGGTGGTAAGAATGCAGAAAACAGTGGAGTTAACCTCATCAATTTGCCACCAAGCATTTACTCCATCCCAAATTACAAGCTGCGGTTTGACTCGAGACAGTGCTCTTCAACAACAAAACTTTGAAGTGTATTATTATCAATAATGAAACCAACATCATATTAAAGTACATCTAGGTACTAGTCTAACAATACCATATTTATATCACTAAACCTTATATTGTTAGACTAAATGTTAGTCAAAACTAATGAAGTTTAAATTTTAAAATATATGCGCGCCTTATATATAATTTAGTACGAAGAGGAGTTTATACTGTTTTTTGTAAATAAACAGCTGTGAATTTTTCTTTCATCTAGAAAAGGCTGAGGCAGAAATTAATAAAAGGAAAGGGAGAGATGGGAGATGAAGATGACCAAGATTACAAAGAACCAAAGAAGTGCTATAGCGATGTGATTATATATATGGAGGATATATAAGGAAAACAAAGCGCGCCACACAAGAGCTAGCGGTGATGGACCATCATCCAACATTGCAAGGGACGATGGCTCATGTTCTGCAGTATCTGAAGTTTCAACGTCTTAGTGGAGTACTGACTTTGAGGGTTCAGTGGTACTTCAGACACAGGAAAGCCCAACAGGATGGATAGATAGCAGCCGGCCGTGCTAGTATCATATCCAGGGTCTCTACCGATGGAGATGTGAATAATATGTCCACTGTTTTGAGGGCTATGGAGGCTATAGCGGCTGCTATCTGATCGTTTGAGCAACGGCTGATAAACCTTGGAAAAATTATTGAAACATGAAAATGGATGAAAAAACTTAAAAACAACTTTAAAATTAAGTTTTAGAATTTAAATTTTAGTTATGTACCACTGATAAACTAATAAGTAGATGATAAGAGTTTCTAGGAGGAGGAGAGGACTGTTGGGACAACGGCCCAGTAGTTGTGGGAGTTGCGTTCGTGATGGCTATAAAAGTAATTAGGTGATTCCCCGCACTTTACTGCGGGAATTACTAACCAATTCTAAATATATATTTTTCAACAATCAACTAGGAGTAAAAAGAAAAAAAATAATAAAACATCAGGGATTATCAGTACTTATCATGAAACAACAAATGATACATGCGCTTAAATGTGGAACATATTAATAAGTATATGTTAAATTTTATAAAAATGATGGATAGATTTATTAAAATATTGTGCAAATGATGTGACTGGTGATAATTGGATATGCTTGCATATTGATTTGTAGAATTAAATAAATTATAGATGATGTTTTATATTTGCATGGGGTTAAATATATAATTGTTGTTAGTGGGTGATGATGTGACATGGTTGAATGTTGAACTTTAGATTTATAACTTTACAGCATAGATATGGCGGAATCAAACTCACCAAGTGTATATTGAGTTACATGTACCGACTAATTCATTTCAAAAGAGGTAATGAGAAATGATAATTCTCTAACAGTATTCTCACGTGGCATATAATTTACTTAGTTACATCTTACATGCACCAACAACCACGGATCAACCCAAAAAACAATCACTTACTTCTGCGGTCACGACTAATAAGCTAGGAAAGACAAACAATTGTGCAGCATGACCACCATGACCATGACGGGTGAGATGGACCTGTGTCCACGACATTGTGCAGCAGCCCCGGTCGTCCACGGGCACGGTGGTCATGCCAATGTCTACGACCGGCCTCTCTACACCCCCTTGGATGTATGCGGTCAATAGTGGAATGTACATAGTCAATGGTTGTGATCTCTTGCATTTCTGGGGCAACCCTAGCAGCCCTGGCCTGCTAGCTCGATTGCGTCTGTCGGTGATATGGGCCCAGGGTACCCGTGCTGAAGGGAAAAATCATTTCCCCCAGCCATGTGGCCGTGCGTCCCGGATCCCCCGTCGGGGGGTCAGGCGTGCGGGCAAAAAATGGACAATAGATGCCTAGGGGCCTCGGGGTATCCCGTCGCACCCCTCGGGCCTCCACTCCGAGGCCCTCGTTCGGCTACCACGTGGCGGCCGAGTGGACGGAGGTAGGGGCGCTACCAGGCGCATTTATGGGCGGCGCCCCAACCGCCCCCCGTCGTGTTTAATGCGGCGTGGCTGGTCGTGCGCCGCCCAGCAGTTAGACGTGCATCAGTCGCCTTGACCGGGCTATGACCGGATGGGATAGGTGGCAGCGCACCCACGTCTTGCCCTGTGTCAGACAGCGTGGGGGCGGGTATGCCCCGTCCCATCAATGGCAGGGGATCGATGTTCGACCGGTACATCCCATGCGCTTGAGCCCACAAAAGTCTCCAGGAATTTATGAGGGAATGACAAGGGATGTCCCCAGTGTCAGGCGAAGGATGGCGCTAGGGCCCACCTGAGGACGAGCGGCCGCCTTGCTTTTAGCCTAAGGCATGGGTGGCAGCTCGACCCAGGTTGATGTGGGCCCCTCTCCAGGACCGAGATGTGTAGAGGCGGTGTATGTGGTATCCCCTTGAACTATAAAAGGAGGACCTTGCCCACCGAGCAAAAGGAGGACTCTGGGGAGTTTGAACCTTAGGAGAAGACTAGCCAACCGTCTCTTTGGGGTTTTAGGTCTCTTGTAACAGCATAAATAGAAATCCACACATGAGTTGGGTATTACGCTTCCTAACGGCCCGAATCTGGATAATCCCTCGTCTACCTCTTGATTGTCATCCACCGCACTAGCTTGATGCACGGTCAAGATACGCTCTCGATCATCGCGCCCTATCCCCTGGCCGAACTCACAAAGAGGGGTCTCACGTCCTCCCGCTAGAGAGGATCTCTCCTCGACAGCGTCTCTCCCGTGTGGCTGCCACGTGCAACAACCAACATGTTTTAGGCTCCATTCGAGATCGAGCTGAAATGATGAGCTTATATATGGCACATAAAACAAGCTTAAGTCAATCCAGAACGAGCAGTGGAGAGGTCGTTGAGGGCATCAGGACTCAGGCGAGTGGACAGCCGTGACGATGGCGGCTGAGCATGGTCCCATGGTGTGACTTGTAGGTGGTGCCAACCAGCAACGAGGAGGACTAACGTGGCAGGAACGTGGCAGGCAAAGGCACAGCCCCAGAGGAGAGAGAAACATCGGTAGTGAGCTCCGATCGTAAACTGGTGAGCGCGTCAATCTATGTTTCGGGACAAGGGGGTTCCATTTTTCCTAGAATTTATTGACCGATGTGGAGCGGAGGTAGGCTAACAATGATGTTATGAATCTAGAGAAAAGGCGGCCATGGCGGTCATGCATGGCAAAGAAGAGGAAGGAAAAGTTGAGAGCGAATCCTCACCAAGGCAATGTGGTACTACTGGCACAATGGAGCAGCGAGAGAAGCCTAGTGTTGTAGGAGATGCACAAGCCATGGTGCGGGAGTGTCCCAATGCTCGATGATGACATTTCAGAACTTAAAGGCTTACATGTGGGCCCCATGTACAAAAGAGAGATAGAGATAGAGAGATGAGAAACCTAACATGTGGGTCTAAGCTAGGGTATTTCAAAACTTTCATATGGTTTCTCAATCATATTCAACCATAAATTAATATACAATAGGAACGGTGACGAGCTGATTTTCGCGTTTACAAAGTGCTTTCCTCTAAAAGTTAATTCATGCGATGTTTTATAAAGCTAAAACCACGAAGTCACGATGCTCGGTAATAAAATTATCTATGATCTTTGGAGGTCACACAACAATAGCCCGTGACAGATGATTTATCATGCATGCATAAGTATGCTTAGTTGCTAGCTAACTTTTAACTTGAATAAGAAGGCGGCAACAAGTATCCACAAATTATGGATGTTATCTAATTAGCTGTTCTGCTCATGATTTAGGGTGGTGCTAATGGGCGGGTGATCGCCCACAACGATCACCCCCACCCCCCTAAATACACTCCTCTCCCCCTTCCTCCTCCCCTTCTTCTCTTCCTACTACACCATAAATTTTAAAAAAAATAAAAAAACAAAAGTTAGAAAAATTTATGTATAGAAATACTATCTATAAAAAATATTT